GATGGCGCTGCTGCACGTTCAGCATGCTGATGTACTTGGCTAAGGCAGAGAGTATCTCCAGGTTGTCATCGTGCAACTCACTCGAATCAATTAAGTAGATTGAGATGAGGACCGCACCCTTATCATATCCCCAGTGCAGATGCGAAACCAAGACACGACCTGGTACTATCTCAGGCCCTTCCAGGCCTGGTCCGAGACTGACGCGCATGCGCTTGGGTGCCAGGACCGCGAGGCCCCCGTAAGGGCCCCGTCTGCCCGTGTCGGGCGCAGTAGCCCAAAGTCCTGAGAAGCCCAGCCGAGTAGAAGCCGCTCGAACATATCAGGAAGGTGCTCTCGGTCTGCGTGATGTTCGTGCACCAACGCTATGGAATTGCTGCAGCTGGGCATGCTGACCACTGGAAAAAAAAAAACATGTGCACCACGTCAGTCAGCACACCATGTGAAGAAATATTGGCTGCGACGACGCTGCACGCTGGAACAGCACCCGCTCCTGTAGCAACACTTGCGAGCACCACCCATAGGAAGCAAACGGCACTATGACCGCGAAGGTGTCGAGCACCTCCACGTTGAAGGCCATGCGCAATCCGACCTCCAGCGCCCCGGCGATAAGTTTTCTTCTTTCTTAGCCGCATCGATCGCAGCGCGGGGGGGGGGGGGGGGGCGCAGCGGGCCTGCGCACCACAGCAGTAGGTTAGTGCTGTCCAACCCGCTGTAGATGCTGGCCCACCACTGCATCCATGCTGCCGAGGTCGTCGCCGCGCACGAAGACCGCGCTCCCTTCTGCCCGCCAGGCGCCCGCCCTGCCGACCCCACGCATAGGCGCGAGGCCGCTTGGGCCCAGAACTGTTAAGGCATAGCCACCAACGCGTATCGGGGGATGGGCGGCGCGCGAGTGAGTGTAAGGGCAGTAACTGAAAACGCGCTGTCAAAGTCGTCGCCGCGCACGAAGACCACGTTCCCTTCTCTGCTCGCCAGGCGCCCGCCCTGCCGACCCCGCGCGAAGGCGCAAGGCCGCAAGGGCCCAGAACTTCAAGGCATAGCCGCCAACACGTATCGGGGGATGGGCGGCGCGCGAGCGAGCGCAAGGGCAGCAACTGAACCCGCAAGCTAGACATATCTTAGAGGGCAGACAACGTCAGGAAGGCCAGCGCGCAGACCGCAGGCTCAAGCAGCCGCAGGCTCGAGCAGCCACCTTGCGCCTCTTAGCGTAGTCGTTGGCCACCTCAGCCATCCGCTTGACCCTCGCACGGATCTCAGCCTCCTCTGCTGGCGGCTCGATACCGACGGCGGTGAGGTACGAGCGCAGCTCCTCAATGTCGTCGGTGTCCATGGGGGCGGCGGCTGCTGCCGCTTGCTGCTGCTCCTGCCGCCCCGCCTCAGAAGCCTGTCCAGGCTGCTGACCTGGGGGCGGCGGCTCCGAGACAGCAGAAGCGGCGGCGGCGTGCGCAGCCGCTTTGGCCTGCAGCTCGCGGAGCGCGTCGAAGCGCGCGCTGACCGAGGCCGCGAGGGTAACGTCCGCCCCCAGCTCGCGCAGCATTTCCCCGAACCTGTCGACTGAAAGCTCCAACGCGGGCACCATGGCCTTGAGTGAGTAGCTGCCTGCGGCCACCGCGGGCGCTTTGAGCGCCATTTGCACTCGCTGGGGCTCGAGCTCGATGGTTTCTTGCCCCAGCTTGGCGAGCTCTGCGGTGGTCTCTCCAATGAGCAACTCCAACCTCTCCTTGTCCGCCTGCTGGCTGGCCAGCTTGTCTTCCAACTCAGACTGATGGCGCTTGCACTGGTCAATGCGGGTCGTGTAGTGATGCGCCTGCGATGAGAATGGCTTGCTGGCAACAATACGCCCCTTGAACTCATCTCGCTCACGCACGAGCTCGTCGCGAGCCCGCACCACTGCCGCGTCCTCGGGGGAGCCAAGGGCCCTGAGGGTGGACGCAATCTCGCCCAGCCTCCTCTGCTCGATGTTGGTTGGCTCCGAGACGAGCGGCTCCTGACTGACTGCTGAGCTCGCACCTGCCGCCTGGAGCTGGGCCTTGAGGTGAATGATCTCGAGGTCCTTGGCACGGAGCTCCTTCTTGGCGTCGGCGTCCTTGGACTTGGGCGGCGGCGGCTTGGCGTGAGTGCTGGGCAGCACAGGCGCCTTGTTGCCTCCGAAGGCGACTCCTTTGGTGCACGAACACATCGGACACGAGAGTAACTCTGCCTTGTTCCACCACTTCTCACCTGTCTTGGGGTGCACAGCCATGTCACACCGTGCAACAAGTGAGGATAAGAATGGGGGGGATGCTGCGTCGCCTGGGCGGCTCGCGCAACATTGCGGTGCAAGAAACTGATCACTGGCCGCGGACTAGCGGTATCCACTTGTTTCCGCTGGGAAACCGAAGCCTTGAGCCAAAATGGCTACGGAGCACCGCGAGGAGGAGTATGAGGAGAGGGCCGAAGATCGTCTCTCTCCCCGGTAAGCCGGGTGGTGGCGAGTGAGGCGTCCTGGCGCCGGGCCAGCTTACGAGCGCAGGCAGAGTCGGGCGGGGGACGACGACGACGGAGGTATAGCTTTGCGGCGAGCCGAGGGGGGGGAAGTCAGCCTGAAGTCCCTTTCCCCTGGCCAGAGGGCCAGGTTTGCTGCTTCCGGAAAAGAAAGATGGGACGCCAGGATGGCCACCGGCGCCGTCGAAGTGATTCCCCCCAGGCACGAGGAGGTTGTGAGGAAGTCTCAGCCGGAGCGCATCAGTTCGAGACGAATGGTTCGGCGATGGAAGCTGGTGGAAGGTACGTGCGCGGACCCCGATGCGAAATCAAGATGTTGTGTACACGGGCACCGAGACCCCGATTCTGGTCCTCTCCAGGTGTACGCCCCGACCCAGCAGACGAGTAGCATCATGATGTTGATCCAAATCCTCATGAACCTGTCCCTGCCCGCCGGCATAGCAAATGTTAAGAATGCATTCTGTCAGTCGGACCCTACGACACGCGCCCAGGGACACATATATGTCGAACCCTGTGATGGTATCACTCTCCCCAAGGGCAGTCTGATCCTGCTCGAGGTGAATGTCTACGGACTCGACGACGCCCCCGACGCGTGGCGTAGGACGGTGGTCAGCTCTCTTGAAAAAATACGGTTTTAGACAATGCCTGCTGGAGCCATGCTGGTGGATTCGTTACGGGCCCCAGGGCGAAATACTCAACATGATGTTGCTCGAGGTTGACGATTTCTTCATCGGCAGCTCGTCCCCAGAGTCCCGTGGGTGGTCGAAGAAGCTTCTCGAGTCTTGTTTCAAGTCCGGCAAATATCGGGATTGTCGTGCGGGTTCGGTCGACCTCGCAGGAAGAAGGATAAATATCAGTCCCCGACGTGCCACCCTCGATCAAGAAAACTATATCCTTGAGGAAATCAAGCCCTTGACCATGGCCAGAGGACGACTGGCCAAGCGAGACACGCCTCTGGAGCAGAATGAGTTTAAAGCCCTTCGTTCGCTTGTGTGCAAATTCAATTGGGTCGGGAGGGAGACACGTCCAGAAGCAGCGGGGGTCGCCAGTATACTGGAAGGTCGCTTGAAGGCACCGACCACGGGAGACGTCTCTCTTGCCAAAAAAAATGGTGAAGCATTTGCGCACCACAGCTCCTCGAGGACTTACCAAGTGGAGGCTGGACCCAGAGAATATGGCGTTCCTCTTTTTTTTCCGACGCTGGAGGCGTGGGAGCGTTCGATCACATGACTGATGATCAGGGTTTGCCCGAGGACCCGACACAAGGAGCGTGGATGGTGCTGGCTGCAGACAGGAGTGTGCTCGACAACAGGTCGGTCAAGGCATCGATCCTGGGTTGGCGGAGCTCCAAGTTGCCCCGCAAGGTGCCGTCCACCCTAGCGGGCGAAACCCAAGCCTTGTAGGCAGCAGTAGCAGAAGTGGAATATTTACAAGTGTTGTATCGGGACATGATTTTCCAGGATATTGATCTTCAGGATTATCACCGGGGTTCGGGACCATTTACTACGGTTCTCCGTCGGGACTGTCGTCTTGGAAGCCGAGAAGGACAAGTCCACGTCGTGGACGCGAAATCCATATATGACAATGCTCTAGGAGGGGAACGCTGGGGCCCAGGACCGCAGAACGACCATCGACCTTGCCATCATCAGCGAGGCCCTGGAAAGGGCCCAGGGAAGAGTCCGGTGGATCCCGCATAGTCGCATGCACGTGCACGCATTGACCAAGGACGATGTGTCGAAGTGCAACGCTGCACTGTTCGACCTGATGGTCAGTGGGCGCCTTGTTTTGATAGATGAGTCCGGGGAGGTCGAGCGACGCCGACATCAAGAGTAGGACCCAAGCAGCTTCTAGGAGAGAGCTGAATAGTATGGTCACTTGGGAGTAGTTCCAGATCCGGATCGTCGGAGACGCCGGTGGTGGTGGTGGTTCCTCTCCTTCCTCACCATCGCCTCTCCCTGCCTGTGCGCCCTCTCCTTTTCAGTACAGTCGGGGCCTTCACCTAAGGAACCCAAAATAAGGAACGAGGCCCCTTTTTTCCATAAGTGAACCTTCGATTTCCGATCGGAAACATAAGGAACACCTGAGGCAAGCTGCGAAACACTTAAGGAACGCGGAGCCCCTCCCCAACGAAAAGGGTGTCTTCTTCAGGGCCCCGACTGTAGAGTTAATGCTTTTCTCTATACTATTTTTTCTCAGGGAGGTCAGTCATCACAGGAGTGGCTGACTGCCGACGGCCACCGAGGCCGGCGGCCGGGGCTGCTAAATCCGAGAGAAAGTGCTACCAATGAAGCTGGTGAGCAGGTTTCGTGAAAAGGCTTCGCGTTTGGGGGATCACTGCTTAGATTCATTCGTGATTCGCCCACGTTGGCTCAAGGGAAAAACATTTCTTGACCCTGCTGCTGCCACACTGGGTCAATGCACACCTGGCTCTTCAGGATCCTGCAAGATCTGGCGCTCTGGCTGACACCCGATTGCATTGACATCTGTCTCAAGGCTCCCTCCTACTCCCTGTGCACCGGCAGCTACGCCCTCGGCCAGCTCCTTCTCTGCCGAGCTGGAGATCAGGAAGATCGGCAGGTACCTCCGCACGACCTCCAGGGGTAGGAGGATCACCAATGACAAAGGCAGCTATGCTCGCGCTCCGCGCTGTGCCAAGCGCGAAGAGCGAATAACTTCGCGCTCTCGCGCCACCTCCCTGGGGGAGAAGAGCAGGACGGGGAGACGAGGAGGATGAGGATGAAGAATCGTGATTCGCGAACCGCGGACAACTTCGCCCCCAACCCCTCGTGGCGGCCCTTTGACTGGCCCCACTGGCGTCCAGACAAAACCGGAAAGATCGTTGGAAAGATCGAAGAGAATTAAGCCCCTTTTGGGAGCTGTTACGCATACGCCGGAGTGGGCCTCGGATTAAGCGGGATTAAGCCGGATTAAGCGGGATTGACCGGGATTAGGCCGGATTTCGGACCAGGGCAAAATCAGAATCTGACCTCCCAGGAGTTGCATTCGAACGAATCCACGCGAGTGATTGTGATGGTGCAAGGCTCGAGCTAAACAGAGTTGTCCGTTTTCGTTTTTTTGCTTTCGTGCTCTCTCGTTCTGTCATCATTCCACCTATGTCGCAAAACGAATTCATACCCAAAACACCGTTTAGCTCGAGCCCTGTGGCGATTGTGAAAAACTCCGGATGCCCGCGCAGCATCCCAATATCGGCGGTGGACACACCTCCCTTTAGTAAACCTCCCCTTCGTGAAAACGGTCTCGGACCGAAGCCGACAGACCTGGACCCGCAAAAATGACGGCCGCGACGCCCTCTCGCGAACCGAAAACGGCCAATTCGCTAATCGACGTGTCAGGGTATGAGGTCTATCAACCTCCGACAATAGGGGCCTCCTAGATGGGGTCGGAGAAGATGGGGTCGGAGGATCGCGCCGCATCACCGGTACATCGGCGATACATCGCCGATGCATCGGCGATGCATCGTGATGCATCGGCGACGCCAGCGTGGAGAAAATCGGGCTATATACACATCGAGAAGCATCGCCGATGATCGTCGATACGGCGCGATCCTCCGACCCCATCTACTCGGACCCCATCTAGGAACCCTAGACACAAAGGCATGAGACCCTCCGCCGGCCAAAACACCCGAAACCTTACGATATGTCGAGGGTACCCTCCCGCAGGTTGCACAAGAACACCCAACGAACTCGAAGAGCAGATTAGGTTACCCTCCACGAACCGAACTCGATCTTATACATCGGCCCGACCACACAGGCTGTGCCATGCGAGCTTCGAGGGGCCCATCAACGACTGAGGGGGTGACGTGGTGGGGCTGGACACAGTGGCCTGGTGGGGATGGGGATGGGTCCCAGGACGCCTGGGGCCCAGAGTCGGGGCCCCGTGCGACCTCGACCAGCATCCGCTCGGGCCCGGGCACGTCCTTCGCCGCCGCGTCCGCCCGGCGGACCTTCCTGTCCAGGGCTGGCAGGATCAGGAACAGCTCGGGGAAGTCCAGCAGCCCCTTGAAGTCGAAGACTTCCTGGACCTCCGTGTTTTCGAGCATCGCCGAGAGCCTGCATGCCGTGGCGCGCGCCTGCGCCAGGACCCGCTCCACCATCGGAGCCACGGTGTCCCGCAGCATCCCCACCGCCGGGTGGCCCTCCCCGAGGTTCTCTGCGATCAGCCGAGGCAGCTTGTCCTGCAGCAGGTCTCGGACCGCGCCCTCGGCGCACGGCAGCCACGAGCTGCCGACCTCGTCGAGGAAGCCCTCCAGCTCCCGCTTCGCCGCCGCGGGGGCCTGGCCCGCGAGGGTCCGCAGCAGCGGCAGAATGGGCGGCTCTTCTTGCTGCCCCTCGCACCCTCCGCGGTCTCCCACGCGCCCCCTCCTGCACGGCCCCGGCGCACTTCCGGGGCAGGGGGCGTGCAGCGGAGGCCTGTAGAAGCAGAGCATCTCGTCCCAGGTCGGATCCCCCGCCTCCCACTCGTACAGCATCGAGTCCTTCAGGCAGGTCGCGCCCTCCACCACCTCCCGCCACTCGGCCACCGGCCGGAAGGCCCGGATCTCCCGCTGCTCGTCCTCCAGCGTGACGCCCGTGACGGCGTTGAAGACGCTGTGAGCGAGGTCGAGCATGGGGTATTTCGGCGGCGAGCGAGGGGGGAAGTGAGAAGGAGAAGGCCCTCTCAGAAGGCGGTGGGACTTCTCAGAAGCCCTCGAACCTTCTGTGAGGTTTTGCGTCTTCGGGGAAAGATCCGAACAGGTCTCAGAAGGCCGGGGGACTTCAGAACCTTCTGACAAGGCCTTTTCCTTCTCACTTCCCCCTCTCTCGCCGCCGAGTATTCCGCCTGGCCTCCCATGGCCCCGTCCGGATCCATTGCGGCTGGCAAACGCAGATCATGCTCCCGCACGAGGAACAGGCCTCCTGGGCGCAAGATCCGCTCCACGTTCTTCAAGAACTTCGGCAGCTCGTCGAGAGGCATGTGGTGCAGGCCCTGGTGGATCGTAACCAAGTCTACGGACTCGTCGGGGATGACGGCTGCAGAACCGAAGCCCAGTGCCATTGAGGAGGGGCTCGTGTAGTCGTAGTGGACGAAGTCACCGATGGTATCGAGGGTGCCCCGCTCGAGAACGCAGGCCAGGCTGTCTGGATCTGGCTCCTGATCGTGCACGATCCACACCCTGACAGGAGAGCCAAGCGGCGTTGGACTGTCACTACGTCATGAAGACTGTTGGTGGTTCCCATGGCGCCCAATAGGGCGCAAAGCAGGAGTAATGTGACTAAATTAACGGGGCCAAAACAAAAGGATTGGGGCTTATGTCTGCAGATGTGCCGGACCAAACCGCCAAGAATTCCTATCCCTAATGCACAGACGGGAACCTCAGTGAGGCTACGTCTTCACTGTGTTACTAGGATAAGTTATTCTCGATTATAATGCATCTCCCTCATGTGGCGCCATCGGGAGCTCTTGGCCGCCAGTTCGGCGCTAGTCGGCGCTATGCGAACAATATTCGGCGCTTCTGAACGCCATTTGGCACCATTGCATGCTGCTGGGCGCAAGTCTTCGATGGACACTCAATCCAAGACGAGCGCAAACTTCCGTGACCCACGACCGAGGAGAGGCGATGCGCCACTGGCTGCCCCATGCCTGCCACCACGCCCGAGGCGTGAGCGAGTGGGGCGCAAGCCAGTGGGGGAGCGCTCGCCGCCGAGACCACACACACGCACCCAGTTCGGAGAGTCTGGGGCCAACCCATGATGTGCCCTGTCACAGAGTACTGGATATTTCAGCAGAGCTGGAGAAAACATCATCGCCTCTGTCAAGTTCTCCAGGCACCCACCGATCGCAGTGCCAAACCGCACGCGTCCGCCCCCCGGGAAGCCCCACGCCTCCCTGGCAAGATGGCCCCCCAGGCCGTCCAAGACGATGCCCACGAGATGCTCCAAGAGGGCCCAAGAAGACGGCCCATACACTCACACACCCAAAAACAAAGCGGTTTGCGTCTCACGCTTCTCAGCTCATGATTACATCTGCAGAAGTTCCAACACAAACCCCAAGACGGCCCGATTGGCCCAAGAAGACTACAACACGGCCCAAGAGGACATCAAGAGTTCTCCAGGGGGGGCTCCAGAGAGCCTCTGGAGGAGCCACAGACGGCCCAGAAGGCTGCCTAGACGGCCACACGGCCAAACTAAGACGCTCCCAGAACCCCAAGAGACGCTCAACGTGTCTTTCGAACGCAACTGCTGGGGCCTTCGGTGGAACTCCTTATGAGGCTACCAAACGTGTCAAGGGTGTGCCGAAAAGGTACGGCCGTGCCATACGAACGCAGCCACTGGCGCCTTTTGCGGCGTAACCCAACCGCTGGGGCCTCCAGAGGAACTCCTAAGGGCCACGAAACGTGAGAGTGATGCGCCGAAATGGGTGCGGCGGTCCCATGCGAACGCAGCCGCTGGGGCCTTCGGTGAAGTTGCGTATGGGACAACGAAGCGTGTGAGGAGTGTGCCGACACAGGTGCGTCGGCGCCATGCGAACGCAGCAACCAAGGCCTTCGGTGGAGCTCTCTATGGGGCCACGAAACATGTGAGTTGTGTGCCGACGCGGGCGCGGCAGTGCCATGCGAACGCAGCCGCTGAGGCCTTCGGTGGAGCTCCGTATGGGGCCACGACACGGGTAAGGGGTGCGCCAAAACGGGTTCTGGGTGCCATGCGAACGCAGCCGCTGGGGCTGCCGGTGGAGCTCCCTGTGGGGCCACGCAGGGTGTGCCAGAACGGATTCGGTGGTCCCATGCGAACGCAGCCACCGGTGCCTTCGGTGGAGCTCCCTACGGGTGCCAACGTGGGCATGCGGAGGGCAGAGGCAGGGACGGGAGGGGAGGGGGACGGAGGGAAGGAGGGGGCAGCGGGAGGGTGCAGCGCGGCCCTGTCTCTCCACAGCGAAGAACGAGTACCACACGATGGTTGGGAAACGGCTGTCTCCTGCTGTCGGTCTTCGCCGCGTTCTCTCTGTGCCCGCTTCGATCGCACCGATTGAGGGGATGGGCCCGCGGAGACCTTCCTCGCATGCTCAGCGCGTCCCGCAGGCGGGGCACAGTCTTCCCGTGGTCTCCCACGCTCACGTGGTCGTGCAGCCGTCCGAACTTCCCAAGCTTCCCGACGATGGAGGCGGTCTCGCGGACGAACTCCTGCTTCTGGTGGGTGAGCTGGCGGATGGCGTTCCAACCTTAGGGAGCCCACAAAGGACGTACGCGCCCAGCTATGTACATGAACATGGCCCCTCGATTCGCGAGACCGGCCGCGTTGTACGAACATTTGTGCAATGCGTGCTCTCGAAACCAACGTGGATTCATGTACATGTACGTCCTTTTTTCGCTCCTGAAACCTTTGCACTGGAGAGTCGGGGGCGGCCCAGGGGGGCGCCCAAGAGGGGCATCCGCAACTTCTGGGCGGAGGCGGGCGCGCGACCGAAGGGGGGGGGGGGGGGGGGGGGGGCAGGAGGCGTACAGCAGCAAGAGAGAGGGCCGTGGCACTCGGGGAGATCTCTCGCGGCCCCTGCCGAGAGGATCCCCCCCCCCGAGTGGCGCCCCCCCCCCCCCGAGAGGAGGGCCAGTTGAGGACGGCGGCCCTCCCTGGCCTGCTCCTCTCGCTCCAGGCCTCCGGGAGGCTGATTGGCCGCCACGGCCTGAACCGCCTCGAGACACGGGTCGGGGTGGACCCCCAGAGAGGTCTGGGTCTGGAGACCGATTCGGAGCGGATGTGGACCAGGCGGGAACCATCGTTGGTTCAACTGGCCCTCCTCCGATGGCAAAATCGGGAGCAATCGGCACAGCCACTACCAACGCCACAATGGCGAGGAGCCAGGGATAGAGGGAAAAACACACATCGTGGCGAATGACCCAACCATATGCTGTTGTGAATAGCGCGTTGTGGGTACTGCTTACGGTGGCGATCCGTTTGAGGCCACAAAACGTGTGAGGGGTGTGCCCGATTGGGCGCGGTGGTGCCATGCGAATGCAGCCACTAAGGCCTTCGGCGGAACTTCGGGGCCACGAAGCGTGTACAGTGTGCCGAAGCGGGCCGTGCGAAGGCAGCCGCTGGGGCCTTCGGTGGAGCCCTGCATGGGACAACGAAGCGTTTGAGGGGTCTGACGAAATGGGCGCGTCCGTGTGCCATACGAACGCAGCCGCTGGGGCTTTCGGTGGAGCTCCTTACTCCTATTGGGGCCACGGAACGCGCGAGGGATGCGCCGAAGGGCGCGGCGGTGCCATGCGGACGCAACCGCAGGGGCTTTCGGTGAAACTCCTTGTGGAGCCACGAAACGTGTAAGGGGGTGTGCCGAAGCGGACACGGGGGTGCCATGCGAACGCAGCCACTGGGGCCTTACGTGAAACTCCTTACGAAGCTACCTAACGAGTAAAAGGTTTGCCGGAACAGTACTGGGGTGCCATACGACCGCAGACACTAGGGCCTTTGCAGCGTAAGCCCACCGCTGGGGCCTCAGGCGGGGCTCCTCATGGGGCCACAAAACGTGTCAAGGGTGTGCCGAAAAAGGTCCGGCTGTGCCATGCGAACGCAGCCACCGGCGCCTTCGGTGGAGCGAACTCCCCATGGGGCCACGAAACGCGTGTGGTTTGAACGGAGGCCACGAAACGTGTAAGAGGTGTGCGGACACGTATGCGGCGGTGCCATGCGAACGCAGCAACCAAGGCCTTCGGTGGAGCTCCTGATGTGGCCACGACACGTGTAGGGAATGTGCCGAAACGGGCGCGGCGGTGAAATGCGAACACAGCCGCTGGGGCCTTCGGTGGAGCTCCCTGAGCGCCGACAGGACATGGACATGCGGAGGGCAGATGCCGGGGTAGGGGGGGGAGGGAGGGGGACGGGTGGACGGACGCCGCTGTCCGCGACCGCATGCCAGTGCCCGCGGCGGCGCGCCTCCTGATGCAAGCGACAGCGGGGGCGCCAGAGCGCCCGAAAACCCGAGTGACTGGATCGTTTACTTCCCATCAGTTTTATTGTTTGTTTTTCCATGGCACCCGAACAACACATCTTAAGAACAAATGAAGGGAAGGAAGGAGGAGTCGCGAGGGACGCTCACTTCAAAATATGGCACCGAACACAATAGGATTATTTGAAAAAACAAAATAAACATACAGTGCGGGCGCGGACGCAAGAAACCCTCGCAAGAAACCCAACCCTGAAAACCCGCGCGCGAGGTGCACCTGAGGGGAAACCCGGAGCACCCTGAACGCAGCAGCTCCTCCAGCGGTCGCGGGAAGTCACCGCGCAGCGCGCAGAGCGAAGAATCCCAGGACGCCCAGATGAAAAGCAATGGTGTCTTGATGCGCGCCCCCACACCTTCAGAAATCCGCGCGGATTTATCTGCTCTGCGCTGGGGTCCCCTCTATTGTCGAAATAGAGCGCGCCAGGGACGCCGCAGGAGTGGCGCGCTGCAAAACAGCGGGGGTATGTCGACCCATATCCCAGGCTTCGTGGGGCCCTCGAATGGACCAGAAATCTAGAGCCCAACCCTGAGATATACGATGGGGCGTCCATCGTCAACGATGGGGGTGCGTCCGAATAGCCCCTTTGGGATGCATCCCAAGGTTTCCCTCCTTTTCCTGAGCGGCCAAACTTTTGAGGCGGAACTCGGGGATCGGAGAGAGAACAGTCGCATGCGAGCTGGTGCCGCTTTTCATCCCTCCGACCTTTGGAGGCCACCGCGAGCGGGCTTGGGGTGCCGGCGCAGGCGCCATGGAAGTGCCTGCGCAGGGCGCAGAAGATGTCGAAGTCATGCAGGTTACGAGGGTCCCAGCACGCCTTCCCGATCTCCCGCATGACCTCCGCCTTGTCCGCGATGCTGAAGATATTGACCAAAAACTCGTCCCGGAACCTGGCAAAACAAACTGATACTGATACCGCTGCTTTATAATGGTATTGGGGGGACCTCGTCTGTCACATCGCGCCAGCTTTCCGTGACGAATCCGCGCCGAATGCATGTCGACCGCGACAAATATGTGGCGGATCCGAGTCGAAATCACGTCGAATCCACGACGAATTATATAAACACTCGGAGGTCCGTACGGATTTCTCTGATCTGCGCTGGACCCCCCTCCCTGGCGCGCGGAGCGCGCCAGGGGCGGCGCTGGAGGCGGCGGCAGGGGGGCCAGCGCAGATCCGAGAGTCCCGCGCGGAGCTCTCAAAGCTTATTTTTGACGCCGCTGTTAGGAACAAGTGTATGCTCTCCTGCATGTGCTGCCGCATGCTGCTAGGCCCTCGGGGTGCTTGGCGAGCCAGAGGGGTCTTTAGCGTGCCGTCTGAAGGCGCTCGCGCATCTCTGCGTCGCGGATGAGGCGAAAACGAAGACTAGAAGACGAAAAACGCCATAATCAGAAACTTGTGGCACTGCACGCGGATTTCTCTGCTCTGCGCCAGACCCGCGCCAGGGCCGGCGCCGGAGGCGCGGATCCAAGAAATCCGCGCGGAGCGCCAGAAGTTTGTGTCTATGGTGCTTTCTTCTTCTTCTTCGAGGAAGGCACCAGCACAACATCAGACCAGTCCTCAGAACAAGCACCGTACAATTACCAACAAGGACGTCGGATATAACGACCCGGCGGGCTTTTTTGAAGGGGCCCAGGGACACACAAATAAATACACACAAATAAAAATATCCCCCATATTTTCCGATATTTTCTGGATTTGTGTCTTCCCCCCCACTTCCCATATTTTCCCATATTTTCCTGGGGGTCGACGATGAATTGTGTCTGTGTGTTTCTTTCCCTCCTGATTTTTCTTCTGGCCACGGCGAACCTCCGCCATGGACAGGTCTCACGCCGTGCTTCGTCAGGAAAGGGCCCGAGAACCAGAGCCCCTCCCGAACGCGCAAGGGTCCGTGTTTCTCCACGGCTCGACTGTACCACTGCTCGAGTAGGGGATCGACTCAAGAATCGATTCACGATAAACTTGGTCTTCTCGTCGAATCTACAGAACACGCGTGGGACTATCTACTGGCATTCCGCATAGTTCTCGTACGCTCGACGAGGAAATCAATTTCGGGGGTAGACCTCTGCAGTCGATCGCCTACTCGAACTGCTTTCGGGCCGGGCGAAAGGGGGGGATAGCAAAGGGGGGGCTTGAGAATCAGCTCACGTAGCTGATCTTCCCGGCGCCTCCCGGCGCAGGGAGGCGCTCATTGATCGAGGAATGGGCCCCTCGGTGAGGCCGAAACCAGCTGCACGCAGCGGATTTCGTGACCCCCTTTTCCTAGGGCTCCCAACTTCGCGCTTCGCGCTCCGCGAAGCGCGAAGCGCGAATAACTTCGCGCCCTCGCGCCGCCCCCCCAAAGGGAGAAAAGGAGGACGAGGAGGAGGGGGGAGAAAGAACGAGGACCGCGAAGCGCGAAGCGCGAATAACTCCGCGCCCTCGTGGGAGCCCTTGCTTTTCCCTATCCCCCCCTTTCGTCCGGCCCGATGCTCGAACTGCTCCTCCCCCAGGAGCCGCTCGCGCAGCTCCGCGTCGCGCATCAGCGCCCGGTAGGAGCCGCTGCGCCGGAGCACCACGTCGCCAGCGCCCGACCTCGCCAGCCAACGGATATCGGGTCGGGCGAAAGGGGGGGATAGCAAAGGGGGGGTTTGAGAATCAGCTCACGTAGCTGATTTTCCCGGCGCCTCCCGGCGCCGGGAGGCGGCCATGTATCGAGGAATGGGCCCCCCGGTGAGGCCGAAATCAGCTGCATGCAGCAAATTTCGTAACCCCCCCTTTCCCAATCCCCCCCTTTCGCCCGGCCCGATGTTAAGTCGGGCCTGTCCCCTACAGGGGGATGTTCGACGAGAACTTAAAAATACCCCCAACAAAAACAAAAACTAGTCCCAAAAATAAGATCGGGAATATGTTTGAATATGTTTTACACGTTTTTGGTGTACTGTTAGGGTATATTTTATATTTTTCGTCGAAAATCCCCCTGTAGGGGGACAAGCCCGACAGAACCCTGGTGAAGACGAGCCCTGGCCCGCGAGGCCCCCACCGGGAGCGGCATCCGTCCAGAGGAGAGAGCACGGTATACGCACCTGCACCGAGGATGGCCAGGCCCATCCAGGAGCCCAGGCTCGGTGCACACGCCCTCCTGCCGTGGCCAGGGAGACGGACGCACCGATCCTGGGCCCAGGACGGGCCCGGCCGAGATCGGTGCATGTGCGCCCGGACATCCGCCTGCTCGAACTTTCTGCGGTGCGCGGGCCCCTCAGAGGTCTGGACCCTCGCCCCGGCTGGGGCCGGTGCTTCGTCCCAAGCCGCTCTTTGACGCTCCCGAGGCCCGGCGAGGGAGGAGGGAGGAGGGAGGAGGGAGGGAGGGAGGGAGGGAGGAGGAGGAGGAGGAGGAGGAGGAGGAGGAGGAGGAGGAGGAGGAGGAGGAGCAGGAGGAGGAGGAGCAGGAGGAGGAGGAGGAGGAGTAGGAGGAGGAGGAGAGCGGAGGAGGAGGAGGAGAGCGGAAGCCCCCATGGGCCCGCAGATGGCCCAAAGCCGCCCGCTCCGATTTTTTGTCGGGAGCGTCGGCTCTCTGGGCCGTCGCCCCGTCCGCACCCCGAGCCGCCTTCTCCGACGTCGGCCCGTGGAGGGCCGGCCTGGGCGGCCCCCGGGGCCCTCCCTGCGAGGAAAGGGGGGGCCCCCAGGCGCTCTCCAAGGATGCGTCAGCGCCCCACAAACGGGGACTCCACTGACGGGTACTTTGGCCAGTGACCCAGCGAACCCAACCCTTCCCGATGCGGGCAACGCTGCACCGCCAGAAAGAGGCCCTAAAGTGGCAACTTTCGGCAAAATTGCAAAGTACCCGTTAGTAAGTACCCGTTACGGTGCCGTTGAATGCGGGGGCCCTTCCCCGGCCCGTGGCCTCCGGGCCTCGTCTCTCTCCACCGTGGGCGCTCGAGCCCAGAGAGATCCGACACGCCCCACAGATGGGCCCCTTAAGGACTCCCAGGCTGGCCCTCCACCACGGGCCACCGTCAGAAGGCGGCTCCGGGAGGAGGACCGGGCGAAGGCCCGGAGGCCCGAGGCCCCTTGCAAGGAATCGGAGCGGGCGGTGTTGGGCCCTGCTCGGGCTCATGGGGGCCCTCGCCGGGCCTCGGGCGCGCCAGAGAGCGGCTCGGGAGACGAGGCACCATCCCCGGGGGAGGGGTCCGGACCTCGGGGGCCCGCGCACCGAAAGAACTGGAGCAGCCCGATGCCAGGGATTCAGCAGGGACCGACCGTCCCGGCACTCCTATAGTCATACCACGAAATGTTCTTCGAACCCAAACATGTTCTAAGAACACGAACCATGTTCTTAGAACCTAGACCCGATGTTTTACAAGACAGCCCCACCCCGAAATGCTCTAAGAGCATCGCGTGGGAACCACAAAAAGGTTCTTAGAACATTGCTTAAGGGGCTATTAGGCGAGCCGGGACGCTTCGCCACTGCCTGATGGGAACGGACCAGAAAACTGGGGCCCCAACCCGGGGACATCCGATGGGTGGTCGCCCATGCTCGACAGGGGTGCGTGCGCCTGGCCCCCGTGGGGGCGCATCGCCTTCTCTCTGGGCGGTCTCACTGTTCGTTGAGAAAGGTCGGGGGGGCCCGAAGATCCGACCGTGCGGACAAAATGCAACACTGCGACAGAATCACGACTCGGCGAACAAAAATCTCAATCGGCGGTGGACAAACCTCCCTTTCGGAAACTTCCCCTCAATGAAAACGGCCTGGGACCAAAACCGACTGACCTGGACCCGCAAAAATGACGACCGCGACGCCCTCTCGCGAACCGAAAACGGCCAACTCCTCAATCGACGTGTCAGGGTAGGAGGTCCATCCACCCCCGACTCAATATGGAAACATTTGCGAACAACCGCATTCTGTCGGGCGGAACTCGGAGATGGGGGGAGAAAAAGCGCATGCGGCCCTCCTCCGCTCCCCAGAGACGTCTCGCCCTGGGCCTCTCCAGGGGCGAGCGCGCTGGCGGCGGCGTCGCGGGGAATCCGGCCGTGGCCACCAGAATTTTGACAGCCGAAGTGGGTACGAACAAATGGGTACACTGCCCAACAACAAATGTTGATGGGCCTGTTTTCAGCCACCACCACCATAAGTTGGAGGGGGAGGGGGTCCTCCTCCTCCTCCTCCTCCACCTCCTCCTTCTCCTCCTTGTCCTCCTCCTCCTCGTCATCCACCTCCGTCCCCCTCCAACTTCTGGTGGTGGTGGTAGAAAACAGGCTCATCAAATGTTGTCCCAAACCAACAGTGGCCGCTGTTGGGCAGGCGGCCTTCTGTCTCGAATGGACATCGGCCGCGGCGGCGCGGACAGCGAGCCCTGTTCAAAATGAGCAGGAGCTGCTGTTGGGCATTGGACCCAGTCTTTCCGTACCCATTTCGGGCGTCCAGACAGAAGCCCCATGGCGGCCCAGCACAGAACGCAAGACCGGGCAAGACCCAGAACCTCGGTCCTTGGGCAGGGACCAGCCGTCCAGGCATTCCTCGTACCACGACATGTTCTCAGAACCCAAGCATGTTCTGAGGACCAAAAGAACGAATGCTCCTATAGAGCATGAACACGGCGAGTTAAGACACGACGGTCTCAGTCAGAAATGCTCTAAGAGCGTTCCGTGCAGACCACAGAAGGGCTTTCAGCACATTCGTTGGTTCGTTGGTGAGCCTGTAGGCGAGCCAGGACGCTTCGCCACTGCTTGAGATCCTGCAGTCTCGACGTCCACACAAACAGCCTTTCGCCCCGCAAGCACACGGCTGACGGCCCCGGGCCCCGGGCCCCGGAAACCGCTGGCCGCGAACTATGCCCGACCCCCAAGCAAACCGTCACCCTCCGTGGCATCACCCTGGCCTCTCGAGCTTCCCTCCAGTCGCACACGTACGTCTTGGGGCGAGGCGAGGGGTACGGTTTGCTATAGGGGTCGGTTGGGCCGCTCCCAGAACTGCCCCCCCGGGGGGGCCGGCACGTGAGAGAAGACCGGAGAGCAGACAGACAACAGATGCGCCCGAAGTCCAGCTCGATTCTCCTCCTCCTCCTCCACCTCCTCTTCCTCCTCCTCGTCCTCCTCCTCCTCCTCCTCCTCCTCCTCCTCCTCTTCCTCCTCCTCCTCCTCCTCCTCCTCCTCCTCCTCCTCCTCCTCCTGCTCCTCCTCCATGGTGGCGACCGCGGCAAGCGGTACTCCGCGACCGGTGGCGAGGGCGGCCGCGCAGCGCCCAGCAGCCCTGCCGCCGCGGCCAGCCCGCCGTGGCCGGGGCGGGGCGCCGAGAACCGGTCGCGGTAGCCGGGGGAGCAGAGCGGCAGGACGTAGTGCTCGAACCACAGGTTGGAGAACACCCCCGCGGGGTCGTGCTTCTCCTGCGATGTTATGTTTCTGTTGTTTGGGGGGGGGGAGGAGCAGGAGAGATGGGAGCGCGGGCAGCGGGGCTATATACACAGAGCGCCTCGCCAGGCGCGCCTAGACCAGCCAGCGCTTCGCAAAAAACTCACCTGCTTCTCCCTCGATGTCGCTCCTGGTTCTTGCCGTCTCTGGCAATGGCCGTTACCAAGGGAAGTGGGGGACGGGCACCGGGTGACGGTAGTACTCGGGCGGGGGGTGGAGCACGTCGGGGGCGGGGGGTGCGCTGCGATCGCAGTCGTCGCGTGCGCGCGAGGACCAGAGTGCGGCAAGGGAGCCCCCCCCCCCCAACGCACGATCGTTGCCCTGGTCGGGGACGGGGGGGGGGACGGGTAACGACTGTTTAAAGGGGCCATAGGACACACAAATAAATACACACAAATAAAATGATTCCCCATATTTTCCCATATTTTCGGGTTTTTTGTCGTCCCGCCCAATTCCCATATTTTCCCATATTTTCCTGGGAGTGGACGATTAATTGTGTCTGTGTGTTTCTTCTCCTCCTGACTGTTACGCGGCAGAGGATGCAGAACATTACCCTGACGAAGGACACAAGCATATGCAGTTGTGAGTACCGTCGTTGGGGGCATCGCGGCATCGCCTGAGGTGGATCTCCTTATAGGGCGAAGGGTTACTGAAATGGGAGAGGGCGCCACGCGGGCGCTGCCACTGGGACCTTCGGTGGAACTCTCTGCGGGGTCGCGGCACGTGTGAGGGGTGTGCCGAAACGGGCTTGACGCCCAAATACGAACGTCGCCACTGGGGCCTGAGGTGGAGCCCCCCATGGGGACACGAAACGCGCGAGGGGTGTGCCGAAACGGGCTTCGAACGCTCCATCTGGGGCCTTCGGTGGAGCTCCATGCGGGGCCACGAAAAGTGTGAGGGGTGTGCCGAAACGGGCATGACGCTCACATGCGAACGTCACCACTGGGGCCTTAGGTTGAGCTTCCAATGCGGCCACGAAACATGCGAGGAGTATGCCGAAACGGGCGTGGCCCCCACATGCGAACGTCACCACTGCGTCCTTAATTGGAGCTCTCCATGCAGCCACGAAAGGTCACGAAGCGTGTGAGGGATGTGCCGAAACGGGCTTGACGCCCAAATGCGAACGCTACATCTGGGGCCTTCGGTGGAGCTCCTTGTGGGGCCACGAAGTGTGAGGGGTGTGCCGAAACGGGCATGACGCTCACATGCGAACGTCACCACTGGGGCCTTAGGTTGAGCTCCCAGTGGGGCCACTAAACGCGTGAGCGGTGTGCCGAAACGGGCGTGACGCCCAGGGTCACGAAAGGCGTGAGGGCTATTCCGAATGTTTTGTCATGCGGAGGGGAGGGGCAGGGATGGGAGGAGGGAGGAGGGGAATGACAGGAGAGGAGAGAGCGCAGGGCACTGTTCCATCAACAAAACGAGGACCCAGGACATCATGACAGTTGGGAACAATCCCTCCATGAAAGAACAAGGACCAACTGCTCTCGGGCCAACACAAAGAGGACAAACAAAAACCTGGGGGCGGTCGAATACCTGCTCGGAATGAAAGCATGGTCCCGGGAAACGGATTCAGGCCGCTGGGGGGGGGCCCACGTCATAAAACAATAACAAAAACATATGAAAACAACCACACACGATGTCAGGGGGGTGGCTGGGGAAGAGGCGCATGCACAGGCTTCTGGAGGCCCTCGAGGAGTTACAGGGTCGACGCTGACCCTACACACACAGGCACACACACAGGCACACACACACAAACACACACACACACACAAATAAACACACACACACACGCACACACACACAAACACACACACACACACACACACGCACGCACACGCACACGCACACGACAACACACGCATACAACCTGGGCGGCGGCTCTGCGTGTGTCCAACACCGGCCCAAAGAAATCCGCGCGGATCTCCGAAAGTGTGTACTTGCGCCGTTGTCTGTCCCTCGGCCTTCAGCGCAGCGAATCCCTCTGCCATCGGATACGCCTGCTGGAACAGCTGGTGCGAGTAGCACTTTCGGTAGGGCAGGTAGAACGTGCCCCCGCACTGCACCGTGACCTCGGCGAAGCGATTGTGGTACGTCCCCAAAAGCTCGTCGTACTTAGGGCCGCGGGGAAGGCGGTCCGCCACAGTGCCTGCTGTAACGCTGAGGCGTGGTAGAATACCCCGTGCCGCCTGGTAGGGTTCCTGTATTCTGGTAGAGGGTCCCCCCCCCTCCAGTCGCATCCTCCCCGTGTACATCGGCCCTCTCTCTATCGAGGCCACTGTTCCCTATGGACAAGCGAGAAAGCTGCGCCCCCGAGGCCGCGATGCCCCCCGCGCAGAATGACGCGTCCGCGCCCCGAGTCGCGAAGGCGGCGCCTGCCGGTAACCGGGCACATTAAAGGGGCCCTGGGACACACAAATACATACACAAAAATAATAAGATTCCCCATCTTTTCCCATATTTTCTGGGTTCTTGTCTTCCCCCCCAATTCCCATATTTTCCTATATTTTCGGGGAAATCGACGATTATTTGTGTCTGTGTGTTTTTTCCCCTCCTGACACATCATGATGGCCCATGCTTGTCGCACTCTCGCGAGAAGCCTCCACCCTGGCACGTCGACGGCCACAGAGGCCCCCAAGAGGGCCCCGAGAGGGCCCCAAGAGGGCCCCAAGAGGACCCCACGATGGCTCGAGAGCCATCCGAGACGGCCCGGGAGGGCCTCCCGAGCTAAGACTGCCTTAGAAGGCCTTTTGACGGCCCAAGACGGCGCCAAAACTGTCCCACGACGGCCACCAGACACCCCCCCCCTACGGCCAGGAGGGCCCCGACGGCGCAAAGGAGCCACAAGACGTCCCAAGAGGGCCCCAAGAAGGCCCAAGAGGGCCCGAAGACGGCCACAAGGGACCCCAAGACTGCCCCACTGGAGACCTAGCTGGCCCCGACACGGCCCGAATGAGTCCCATGAGAGCTCTTCGAGAAGCGAAGACGAAACATTTCAAAGTGTGACGGCCTTCTCTTCCTCCTGCCCCTCCTCCTCCTCCTCCTCCTCCGCCTCCTCATCCTGCTCCGCCTCCTCCTGTTCCTCCTCCTGCTCCTCCTCCTCCTCCTGCTCCCCCGCCGCCTCTCTCTCTCAATCTCCCAATCCTTCTGATCCCCATCATCACGGCTCGCCCGAGCCTGGGGACACGAGGTGTCACACGTGACCGCCGCCCGTCCCCCCCAGAACAGGCGCCCCCCAGGCTGCTCGGCCGGCGCGGTGGCGGGACGCTCCACAGGCGGCCAGATAATACAGGACGAAAGCGTAGACTCCGTCCAGACTGCGGCTGTACCTGAGGTATGTGTCGGTGTCCTGCTGGACAAAGCGGATTGTCGTGTTCAGCAAGATCAGTCCGCCACTGTCCTCTTTGTTCAGGTCGCCGTAGATAGGGCGGGAGAGGTTGAGCCAAGCGTTGAACTGCGGGTGCGGAACGAAAAACTCCTGGAGGATGAACGTGTCGTCGCGGTGGAAGAGGGGCTCGTACAGCTGCGCCAGCGGAACAGCGCTCTCGTACAGCAGCTGGTTCCGCGTCAACCCATCGTCCGACGACCAGTCCAGCGCCACCCCGCTTGCTTCCTCCATGGCGTACCTCGCCTCCTTCATCGCGGGCATGGCCCACTTGTACAGCACGCGCGACTTCGTGCTGAGTTGCCGGGGTTGGAGCCCGAGCCCAGGGCTGGCGATGGGCACGCTCGACGGCCTGAACACGTACACCGAGATGCTCGACAGGGTGATGATGTTCAGCCGAGCCAGCTTGATCTCCACGCGGTCCACGGCGTTGTCTGGCGGGAGACTGTAAGGAGCGAAACGAGCACGCCGACTCCACCCACCCCTCCCCCAGCCAGCCCCCCTCAGCCTGCCCCCCACCTCACTGCGGAGACAGTATCCTGGCGAAGCAATCCTTTCTGGACCCTTTTCGAGCAGGACCGCTCAATACATGAGAATTCGTTGGGGAGATCCGCAGTGAGCCTGACAGCTTCGCCACAGGACGAGTGCGCCGAAATGCACCCGAGGCGCCATGCAAACCCTGCCACTCGAGCCATCGGTAGATCTCCGCATGGGGCAACGAAGCGCTGTGACGGATGTGCCAAAATGGACCCGAGGGGCCGAGGCGCCATGCGAACCCTGACACTGAGGCCCTCGGTGGAGCTCACTCTTGAGCCACGAGGCGTGTCAGACGTGTGCTGAGATGTACCCGAGGCGCCATGCGAACCCTGCCACTTGAACCATCGGTGGCGCTCGAGCTCCCTGTTGTGCCACGAAGCGTGAAATGGACCCAAGGCGCGCCATGCGACCCCTGCCACTTGAGCCCTCGGTGGGCCCCCCTGTGGGGCATCGAAACGTGTGAGGGGTGGTCCGGAATCGACCAGGGGCGCTTTGCGAACCTTGCCTTTGAAGCATTCGGTGATGCTTCCTATGGGGCTACGAAACGAATGAGGGGTGTGCCGACATAGACCCGAAGCGCTATGCGAAACCTGTCACTGAGAGCCTTCGGTGGAGCTCCCCGTAGGGCCAAGGAAACGTGTGACGTGTAAGCTGGCATGAGGATGCTAATGTTGATGACGATGGTGGTCATGATGATGTGTAAGAGGAATGGAGGGGGAGACGGGACGGAGGATGAGGTGGGACGCCGCGCTGCGACTTCAAACCCATTGGTGGGAAACAACACCGCTACGGCTACACCCCAAATCTCTCACGGTGTGCCCTCTGACAAGGGCTCCCAAGCGAATCCAGCGGTGACGACGAGGCCCCTACCAAAAGGAGACATCAACAATATCCGTGCACGGACCCAACCATGTGCAATGTGGACTATCGTCGTTGTGATCATCGCCTTCAAAACCATGCGAACCCTGGAATTTGGGCCTAAGCTGGAGCTCCCTGTGGGGCAACGAGGCACGTGAGGGGTGTGCCGAACTGAATCACCGACGCCATGCAAACCCTGGCTTTTGGGCCTTAGCTGGGACCCCCCATATTGGGTCACGAAGTATGTGAGGGTGTGCCGAACTAGGCCACTGACGCTATGCGAACTCTGGCCTTTGGGCCTTAGCTTGGGCTCCCAGTGGCCGAAATGGCATACCGACGCCATGCGAACCCCTGCATTTGGGCCTTAGCTGGGGCTCCCTCTGGGGCCACGAAGCGCGTGAGCGGTGTGCCGAAATGAGTTGCCGACGCCATGCGAACTCTGGCAGTTGGACCCCAGCTGGAGGTCCTCGTGGGTTCACGAAACGTGTGAGAGCTGCGCCGAGGTGTACATGCGAAGGCAAGATTGGTTGCCCGTTTTGGGATTCTCGGCTGCACCGTGTTCGGTCTGGTTCCGTTTCGTACCGCCGACTGTTGCTCTGGTTTGGGCTGCCTTTTTATGTGTTTTCGTCGGTCTGAAAGCAATCCTTTGCAAGCGGCAAACAACACATCGCCCCCGTGCGTTTTAAACATGAACTACAGGCGGGGCTCGAAGATGGATCTTCATAAATTGTCGAGGGTCCGCACGGCTTTCCTGGATCGGCACTGGACCCCCGCCCTGGCGTGCGGAGCGCGCCGGGGCCGGCGCCGAAGCGCCGCCAAGGGGCTCCATCGCCAATCCAGGACATCCGCGCGGAGCGTCGACAAAATATGCTTATGGAATGTCGTCTCCGTCGAGGGGGGAGGGTAGGCGTACCGCTTTGGCTCCCCTAATGGCTTCCGACATCACCCGCTGCCTCCTCGCGCTGCCCTCCGTTCAGTGCCGGTGCGCTCGCGGCCACCACGCTGCCATAGATCTGCTCGAAGTCCTCCGACCGGATCACGCCGCCGGAGGCTCTTTCCTCGCCGCCCGGGAGCGCCACGCTGAAAGAGTCCATCTGCAAGGCGACGTTGTCGCGCACCCGCATCGTCACCTATGGAAGAGGAAGAAGAAGAAGAGCAATACAACACGGCATACAGTCACTATGATAGTAAGGAGGCGCGATAAGGGTGCAAGCCCCTTGGACGCTCATGACCAAGCTTTTCGAACGGGGCTGGCCATCGGAAGTGGTGGACCGAGGAGGCAAGGACGCAAAGGTACCCTTGGGAAATTTACCCATCCTTACTGTCGGTTTCGACTGTAATCACAAACCTTCGGAGATCCGCGGGGATTTCTTGGGGACCAGATCTAGATGAAGGGGCCCTGGGACACACAGATAAATATACACAATTCAAAGGATTCCCCCTATTTTCCCATATTTTCGGGGTTTCTGTCTTCCCCCCCACTTCCCATAGTTTCCCATATTTTCCTGGGAGTGGACGATTAATTGTGTCTGTGTGTGTGTTTTTCCCTCCTGACTAGACTCCCACCCCCTGGCGGCGGCGGTCCAGTGCCCCTCAGGAGGTGCACGCGGACTCCCAGAGAGCTTACGTGGCACGCGCTTGCGGATAACGGTGAAGGTGCTGCAGCCTTCTCGCCGGAAGCCTTCGCGCAGGAAGACCCTCGCCCAGGACACCCCGCTCGTGCCCACGCGCCCAGCAGGACCCCCGCGCCAAGGATCCCGCCCCCCCGCCGGGACCCCCCCACCGAGCAGAGACGGGCCCACGGCGGCCACGCACGCCCAGGGATGAGGCACAGTCGCGCCTGAGCCAGAAGACTGTCCCTCAAGAACATGAGACCCTGCGCCGTCCAAAGCTAACAGACATTCCAAGGATACCCTCCCCAGGATGCGCAAGAACATCCAACAAACACGAAGAACTCTTAGGGTACCCTCGCCAAACCGACCTTTCGGGCACCCTCACTGTGACGTTCGGGCACCCTCACTCTGACGTTCGTGCCACGACTTTGCTCCTCGAGCCTCAGTGATCACGCCGAAGCAGCCGTAGCCGCCCAGGGCAAGCTGGAAGAGCTCCTCGGAGTCGCCCCGAGCGCCGCTGCCCCGAGGCCTGGTGCACGCGACGACCTCTGGCCGCACGGCAGAGGGCCACCTGAGCGAAGAGAAGAGACGGGTCTTACGAACGATGGCACAGCGACGTTACGCGGTGGACTACGCGGGCCACCAGCGCCGCAGGCTGGAGATAGGTATCAGCTGTTCGGCCAGAACCTGGGTGAATGATCCAGGGGGGAGGGGGGCGGAAGTGCCAGCCGATAACCCAGCCTTGCGCCTTGGGCACCCCCCCCGCGTGCCCGCGCCAGAACAGCACTGCCCCCTCCGTCGGACCTGTGCCACTGACAAATTCCGGTTATCCAGGGAGGGCGGGGGCGGGCCCGATGACCCTGGTCATCGCCGGACCCTGAAAGAGCACTCTCCTGCATGGGAAACGAGGGCGCTCACGCGCGACCTTGCGCGGGCAGCTTACGAGCAAAGGTCGGCGCGCAATCGGCTCCGCTTCCCTCCGCCGCTCACCCGCCGCTGCCGCCGGCGTCGGCGCCAGCGCGGGCGAGCCTGGCCAGGCGAAAGCTGGTGACGCACTCCTAGGAGGAAGAAACTCGGCGGTGGACAAACCTCCCTTTAGTGAACCTCCCCTTAGTGAAAACGGCCTGGGACCGAAACCGACGGACCTGGACCCGCAAGAATGGCAGCCGAGACGCCCTCTCGCGAACCGAAAACGGCCAATTTCCTAAATCGACGTGTCAGGGTAGGAGGTATATCCATCTCCGAGAAACAGCGGCACCGAGATGAACTCTCGAGGGTCCGCGCGGACTTGCTGGATCTGCGCGAGGCCGCCCGCCCCATGCGCCGCTCCGCTCGCCAGGTGCGGCGCCGGAGGCGCCGCCACGGGGAGGTTGCGGGCAATGCCTTTATCCACATCCAGTGCGTCTTGGAGCTTCGGACTCTCTTCCCAAGAAACATGAGGCGCACTGGATATGGATTATAATCTGCCCCCTAAAAGCTTCAATTGTTATCCATACCCAGTGCTCCTCGGCCATGCGGCGCCCCTTCCAAAAGACGCACTGGATATGGATATAAATATTGCCCGCAGAGGTGCCCGGCGCCGACTCCCAGAGATCTGCGCGGAGCTCCGAAAACTCATGTGTGTGCCAGTGGAGCGACGATCGAAACGGGTCTCGCGCGAGAGATGGCATGGCGACCTGAAGCAAGCGGCTTCCGCGGGCCCCGGCGGCGCGGCACGCCCCGGTGCAGGCGAGGGCGCCCTCGCGCGAGCTCGCGCGGGCAGCCTGCGCGCCAGAGTCGGCGTCGACGGCCCCGTTTTCGTGGCGTCGCCCATCGGTTCTTCTCCGAGCTCCGCGAAGCAGTGGTCCGTGGTGATGCCGTGGGCGTTCACGGCGAGGGTGCCCCCGACGCTGAATGTGCAGTAGCTCTGCATCGACCTCGGCGACTTCCCGAAGCGGTTCAGGTCCGCCGCCCGTGCCCGCGGCGCACCGTGGGGTGCCCTGTTTGGGCCCTCGGCTGGCACTCGGGGGCGGGGCGCTCTCCCCAGAACGAGTTCCCACGTCGAATCTGCAGGGAATGAACCGACCGCGTGTAGATCTGTGAAGATTTGGCGCATTTCCATGGGACGGACGAGAAAAATCCAT